TGAGGCATTCCATTTGAAAAATCACAACTTTGATATGTAGGTCAAAATTGGGACACCCTGTATAATGGCCGATATTTTAGAAATGAGCCCTAAAATGTCATGTATAACATCCCATTAATAGATTTTCCCAAAATGTATTTATTTATGAGTAATATTCCGTCCACACATGGATGGGCCACTCTATATATATATATATAACTTGAAACGTGGTCATTGTCGTCTAGACCAGTTAGGTGAAAATTAAAGCTTCCGCCTTTTGTTGGGTACTTCGTATATATATATACAGGGTGACTTTGAAGTTGAGTCATTAATTTTCAGATAATGATTGTAGAAGGAAGATAAACCAAAATATGTGTGTAAAAATAAAAAAAAAATTTTACCTTGTTTTATAAAGTATCCTCCCGACAAGTATTTCAGTGCGGACCTGTATTTGATCGTGAGGTCCCCTGTGAGGTCTGAAGTCACCTGATTCACGAGCCCGTTGTACTACATTAACAAAGGCACGAGGGGTTGGTTGCACTCGATTGGGAAACCGATCCGCATAAACATGTGCCATTTTTTATTTCGGTTGAGCCACGCAACAGACACTATTCACACGCGACTGACTGTATGTATAACTGAACTGAATAAAGTAAACATCGTTCCAAATTCTTTAGCTTTTTTGTTTCCGATGCGATGAACCGATAAGGCGGATTATATCCGTTGTTGCCAAACACGAGTACATGATATTATTGAGACAGGGCAGTACTCAAACTTCCAAAGGGCTATAACTTTGTTACTTTAATTTTACCAGAAAAATGGTAAAGGAAAAAAACATTTCTTTTGATCAGATCTACTCACTGTTAAAATAAATGACTCAACTTCGAAGTCACCCTGTATATATAGAGAGAGAGATATAGAGAGGGGAAAGCATGCGGAAACAGGTATATCGCAAATAGAAACATAATGAGCACAATTCGCAAAAAGAAGAAAGGTGGATTCGAGCAGAAAATAGGATAGGTAATCCGAGCGATACGTATTTCTGCTTGTTGGCTTTAAAAGGCCCGAAATGAATGCACATATGCAACACTATAAAAGTAGATACACGTGCTCATACATCCGGATACGGGTGTAACCTTAGGAAACGAAGATGGACAGGGAAAAGATGACACACGAAGTCATCAACAAGAGCCGACTTCGAATCTTCAAGGCGACATCTAACCACAACCACCCGGGTAGTTATAGCCACTGGCTGTGGTACTTCAAGCCTAAAGGATCTACAAAGAGAAAAGGATCATGCGGAAAAGGTATATAACAAATAGATAAATAATAGGCAAAATCCGCAAAAAGAAGAAAAGTGGATTCGAGCAGAAAATAGTATAGGTAATCCGAGAGATATGTATTTCTGGTTGTTGCCTTCATCAGGCCCGAAATGAATGCACATATGCAACTAGAAAGGTAGATACACATGCCCATACATCCGGATACGGGTGAAACTTGAGGAAACGAAGATGGAGAGGGAAAAAATGACACACGAAGTCACCAACAAGAGCCAACCTACACATCGTAGTATAAAATGGGTAGAAGACTTCGAATTTTCAAGGCGACATCTAACTACAATCACGCGGCTGGCTATAGCCACTTGCTGAGGTACTTCAAGCTCAAAAGATCTACAGAGAGAAAAGCATCCTGCTGAGAGAGGTATATAACAAGTAGAAAAATAATGGGCAAAATCCGCCAAAGGAAGAAAAGTGGATTCGAGCAGAAAATAAGATAGGTAACCCGAATGATACGTATTTCTGTTTGTTGGCTTCATCAGGCCCAAAATGAATGCATATATGCAACTACCTATCCTATTTTCTGCTCGAATTCACGTTCCTTCTTTTTGCGGAATATGCCCATTATTTTACTATTTGATATACCGGGTGTAAACGAAATCGTTTTACAAGGCTCTACTCAATTGCTGTTTAAAGAAGAACCTTGAAATTTTGTGTGAAGATATGACGTGTAAAAACTCAGATTATCCATTAAAAAACAAATGAATATGGCTTCCGGATTGACCGTAAGTGAGTATGAAACAAAATTTTTAAATATGTCTATATTTTTACATATTTTCATAAAGCTTAAAATTCCATTTTCAACGATGTATCACAAGTAAATGGCATTTACGCCAAATTGAATATGGCGGCGTTATGACAATACCTATGGACTTTTTGCCAAACTAGCCACTTAAATAAGAGGAAAAATCAATTCTCTTGCAGCTTCTGCATTGGGTTGATAAAACAAAAAACAAATATCATAAATTTCGACCATTTTAGTTTTTGCCTAAAATATCAAAATGTATTTAAAATTTTGTCAGAATTTTGAATAGGAAACGGTGTTTTCTTAGTAGTACTACTACTACTAATAAAGTATGTCGGATTAACTCTAAAAAAATGTCCACTGTAAGGAACTTGTCTTAGAGAAAAAATGCTGGAAAATTTTGGAGAGCTATATCATGCATTATAACTGATTAGAAAATTAGTATTTGTTATTACCTATGCACAGTTAATAGGTATTTACCTAGACACGTGACAGAATATATATATATATATATATTTTGAGACGTGGTCATTGTCGTCTAGACCAGTTAGGTGAAAAATTAAAGCTTCCGCTTTTTGTTGGGTACTTCGACAAGATTTAAGCAAAGAGGACTCTTTATACTTTTTTTAATTCTCTCTAGCTTTCAATGGACTTTGCCATCATCATCAGGAGCTGCAATTACAATGATAACAGTAGCAACAAAGGTGTAAAATGAATTTAAATTGACAACTTACAGTAGTATGTGAGAATGTTGCTAATTGTTGTTTACGTATAGGATGAGGGAAACGTCCAGTAACATGGTGAGAGCTGAATAGGTTGCACAATAGTCAAAATTTATACAAAACATGACAAGAACACGTTAAAAACAGATTAAAAATTATTTTAAAAAATTAGAACATTACATCGTGAAAACACCTGATGATTGCACAAATTGGTGGTCATGGAATGATGAATTGATGAGTGACATGAAACCCTTTGACAGAAGGCCGAAGGATGTCAATGTCAGTATTGAAAGATGGAACGAATTGTGGGCGTGTGCCAAAAACGTTGCCAAATCACTTCAGATGAAGAGATTTTCAGAATTTTATGATGGAATTTGTTAAACCGACCAGAGGCAGTTGAATAAACTATATTATTATTAATGGGAATTTAAATTAACAATTATTAATAAATCGTGAGGAGAGAATTATTATATTTTGAGTGGAATGAAATTTACTGGTGGAAACGGCCAAAACACAGATTCTAATTATGGTTGTGAAGAGTTGAAATTTGGGGAGATATGTAAGTTCTCCAATTTTTCGCAGTTTAGCAAATATGAGTAAATGACACTCAGTTGTTTAACATCTGTCTTTTTGTTGATACAGTTGTTATTCATGAAAATGTGGGACATTTCCAGGAATAAACGTTTGGAAAGGTGTTTTTCTTTATCAAGAACTTTGATACTTGTGTAATTCATAGAATGCCCTGTTGTGTTAACATGAGATGCTAGAGCGCATCTTTCAGGATGAAGCCTAGCATCACTTTTGTGTGATGTAATCCTTCCTTTAAGAGATCTGGAGGTCTGACCTATGTATATTTGGTTGCAGTTGTTGCAATTGATGGAGTAGACTGTGTTGGTTAAGCCAAGCAGCGGGACTTTGTCTTTCATTTTTGAAAAAATGCAGTTTATAGTGAGGACGGATTTGCAAGCAATTCGAAAGTTCAAAGGACTGCACAATCTGATCAGCTTAGGGGTCAGTTCCTTGATGTAGGGCAGGACAGCAAAACCAGGTCTGGAGTCCGGGTTGGTGCTAGTACTGTTAGGATTGATGTTATTATTGGGAATTACATCAGTTCCGTTATTAGGGGTTGTGCGACTATTACCTGCATCACCAGAGTTCGGCAAAATATTGGAAGGTGAACTAAAAATGATCTTGTTAATCAGACACTACGGAAAACTGTTCATCAATAATGGTTATCCGAAGTGTCTGATTAACAAGATCATTTTTAGTTCACCTTCCAATATTTTGCCGAACTCTGGTGATGCAGGTAATAGTCGCACAACCCCTAATAACGGAACTGATGTAATTCCCAATAATAACATCAGTCCTAACAGTACTAGCACCAACCCGGACTCCAGACCTGGTTTTGCTGTCCTGCCCTACATCAAGGAACTGACCCCTAAGCTGATCAGATTGTGCAGTCCTTTGAACTTTCGAATTGCTTGCAAATCCGTCCTCACTATAAACTGCATTTTTTCAAAAATGAAAGACAAAGTCCCGCTGCTTGGCTTAACCAACACAGTCTACTCCATCAATTGCAACAACTGCAACCAAATATACATAGGTCAGACCTCCAGATCTCTTAAAGGAAGGATTACATCACACAAAAGTGATGCTAGGCTTCATCCTGAAAGATGCGCTCTAGCATCTCATGTTAACACAACAGGGCATTCTATGAATTACACAAGTATCAAAGTTCTTGATAAAGAAAAACACCTTTCCAAACGTTTATTCCTGGAAATGTCCCACATTTTCATGAATAACAACTGTATCAACAAAAAGACAGATGTTAAACAACTGAGTGTCATTTACTCATATTTGCTAAACTGCGAAAAATTGGAGAACTTACATATCTCCCCAAATTTCAACTCTTCACAACCATAATTAGAATCTGTGTTTTGGCCGTTTCCACCAGTAAATTTCATTCCACTCAAAATATAATAATTCTCTCCTCACGATTTATTAATAATTGTTAATTTAAATTCCCATTAATAATAATATAGTTTATTCAACTGCCTCTGGTCGGTTTAACAAATTCCATCATAAAATTCTGAAAATCTCTTCATCTGAAGTGATTTGGCAACGTTTTTGGCACACGCCCACAATTCGTTCCATCTTTCAATACTGACATTGACATCCTTCGGCCTTCTGTCAAAGGGTTTCATGTCACTCATCAATTCATCATTCCATGACCACTAATTTGTGCAATCATCAGGTGTTTTCACGATGTAATGTTCTAATTTTTTAAAATAATTTTTAATCTGTTTTTAACGTGTTCTTGTCATGTTTTGTATAAATTTTGACTATTGTGCAACCTATTCAGCTCTCACCATGTTACTGGACGTTTCCCTCATCCTATACGTAAACAACAATTAGCAACATTCTCACATACTACTGTAAGTTGAGTCAATTTAAATTCATTTTACACCTTTGTTGCTACTGTTATCATTGTAATTGCAGCTCCTGATGATGATGGCAAAGTCCATTGAAAGCTAGAGAGAATTAAAAAAAGTATAAAGAGTCCTCTTTGCTTAAATCTTGTCGAAGTACCCAACAAAAAGCGGAAGCTTTAATTTTTCACCTATATATATATATATATATATATACGTATATATATATATATCTATGATTTTCATATTTTATTATAATTATTTTGTTTTCTTTTTTGTAATAATCAACAGGGACGAATACTTCACTGGTTTGCACGGAGATCTGGGGATGCTTTGGAAACAAATGAACGGGTAAGCCTTTAAAATTGCTGTAAACTATGAATCTCTTGTCCACGCGTCAGCATGGTTTATTGTGTAATATTTTTTATTTTATTTGTTCATTTCATTCGAAATCAATTTAGTAGTTAACTGCTTCAAAGTATAATGAATTATTTAAGAGATCATCAAATGGACATGCTCCTTATTTATGGTGAATGCCAAAAAAATTCGCAATATTATATCAGGATCGGTATCCAGATCGTCAAGCTCCATCACACGCCTATTACCCTTGGCTCGTAGAATATTTGAAAAATGAACACAACGATCCTGTTGATGGTAATGGTTTGATAGCAAGCCAAACAGTCGACATAAGCGTCCTAGCATACGTAGAATATGATCGTACTGTTTCTACTCGCGAAAGGTGAGCAGTGCCAAATTTTCCACGAGAGTGCAAGAAAAATTTTAAAGAAACATGGCTTTAAATCTTGTATGTACCAAATTCATCACCATCTGTTTGAAAATGATTTTCCAAGATGGCTTAATTATTGCAACTGGTTTTTGAATAATCTGAACATGAGTGATGTCTTCCATCACCATATTATTTTTTCGGATGAATCCAGGTTTACTAATCTAGGGATGTTTAATCGAAACAATACTCGGTATTGGGCTAAGGAGAACCAAAGGCTAGTGAGAAAAGGTGCCTTTCAGGAACGTTTTGCAGTGAATGTGTGATTAGGCGTAACAGGGGTCAATATCATATATGGTGCCCCTGCCCACAACTCTAGAGTTGAAACTAATTACTTAAATGAGCGATTCGGTTTAAATTAGCTACGAACCAATGGACCAATCCGTTGGCCTGCAAGGTCGCCAGATTTAACCCCTCCGGATTTTTCAATTTGGGACTATTTAAAGGAAAAAGTTTATGCCACTCCTCCACCGACTCTGGAAATACTGGAAAATAGAATTAGAACAGTCAATGAAAAGATATATCAAGAAAATTTACGAAAATTGCTTATAGAAAACATCAAGAGAGGATATGTCAACCACTCTCGGCGGCCAACGCATAGAACACTTAATTGAATGATTTTTCCTAATTAACTAGTAATTTATCTGCTTATTTGTTATTTAGTTACTTTTGTTACTTAGTTTTTACTATGCTAATTTCCGTTGTTGTTCTTGTTATCATTAGAAATAAAAAAATACAAAAGAAACGCACTGTTGGGCATTTTTCTTTTGTAAATAAGTCGCCCTTTATTGTTAGTATTTAGAAAGCTCCCTTTCCTATTCAAAATTCTGAGAAAATTTTAAATATATTTTGACATCTTAAGTAAAAATAAAAATGGTCCAGATTTATGACAATTTTTTTGTTTTGCCAACTCATTGTAGAAGCGGCAAGAGAATCCATTTTGCCTCTTAAATTAGTGGGTAGTTTGTAGAAAAATCCCTAGACACTGTCAAAATGCCGCCATATTGAATTTGGCTTAAATGCCATTTATGCCGCCATTTTGAAAAAGAATGACAACTTATGATTCATCGTTGAAAAGTAAATTTTAACCTTTATGCAAATATGTAAAACTATATACAGGGTCTTATTTAAAATTCTTGTTTCAGACTCACTTCCGGTCAAACCGAAAGCGATATTCAGTTGTCACAAACAAGAGCCAACCTACACATTATAGTATAAAGTGGCTAGAAGACCTCGAATTTTCAAGACTACATCTAACCATAACCACGCGGCCGGTTATAGACACTTGCTGTGATACTTCAGGCTCAAAGGATCTACAAAGAGAAAAGGATCATGCAGAAAAAGATATATAACAAATAAAAAATAATGGACAAATTCCGCAAAAAAAGGTAAGTGAATTTGAGCAGAAAATATTGTAGGTAACCCGACCGATACGTATTTCTGCCTGTTGGCTTCATCAGGCCCGAAATGACAGCATATATGCAACTATAAAAGATACACATGCTCATACATCCGGATACGGGTGTAACCTGAGAAACCGAAGATGGAGGGGAAAAGAAAATGACACACGAAGTCACAAACAAAAGCCAACCTACACATTGTAGATTGTAGTATAAAAAGGCTGGAAGACTTCGAATCTTCAAGGCGACATCTAACCACAACCACCCGGGTGGTTATAGCCACTTGCTGTGGTAATTCAAGCCTGAAGGATCTACAAAGAGAAAAGGATCATGCGGAACAAGGTATATTACAAATAGAAAAATAATAGGCAAAATCCGCATAAAGAAGAAAAGTGGATTCGAGAGCAGAAAATAGTATACGAGTAGGTAAAAGCTTGAAAAATCACAACTTTGATATGTAGGTCAAAATTGGGACACCCTGTATAATGGCCAATATTTTAGAAATGTGCCCTCAAATGTCAAGTCTAACATCCCATAAATAGATTTTCCCAAAATGTATTTGTTAATGAGTAATATTATTCCGTCCACACATGGATGGGCCATATATATATATATATATATATATATATATATATATACTCTGCCCCTTTCAACAACAGATTCTTATAATTTTAATTATTTAATTAAAAATAAGGACACATTAAAATTTTTAAAAATGTACTTTCTACAAAATTTCAAAGTTTTTCATAATTTTCTTTAAATATTTTGATGTTTACAACAACCATGTTTTTGCAGAAGATGAAGTTATTAAACAATGATGAAAACTTGATTTTAGAAAAGAGTTTTCTTTTATATATAGCCTTTTCATTCTACGGCAGACCGAAACCCCGTTCCTTCCCTTAATACCTTAGCTAGTCTACTCAATATAGGAGACGACTGACGAATCGTGCAACTGATTCATGGGGTCTAAAGAAGTGTTTTAAAAAGGATGAAATTATTTTGAACTAAATACCTGCTTGAGTTGTATAACAAGGGTATCCTTTTTCCAATAGTTTATTCACTCGCTCCTCCTTCCCTTCTTGTCCTTTTCTCAGCATTTGTAATGCTTCTTCTTTTGTTATCACATTTGACAAGTATCTGTATTGAAACAATTGCATTAACTTAAAGTTTCATGATTTTATCTTATTTTTTTCTTTAATTCAAGTCAATATAGGCATGTGTCCCAAAAAGGCTCTTTTCCGGAACAAGGGGTCAAAGCTTCAAAAAAAGGTATTTTATTAATCCCACAAAAGTCTTTATATTGACAAAAAAATGCACGTGGTTAACTTTTTGGAAAAACATATTTTTTTAGATTAAGCCATATAGAGAGTGTTACTTAATGATAGGTCTTACATACGAACGAAGTTCAATTAGAAAAGGTCGTATAAACATGTGTCATAAAAGTCTGGTTTTCAAGATACAGGGTATCAGTTTAAAAAGTGGTATTTTATTAATACCTCAAACATCCTTTGGACGATTACGTTGAATTTTGGCAGCATTGCAGTATTGCTCACTGCAAAAAGGCGTACAGATACCACTAACTAAAGACAACTATGAATTTGAGTGGCGTCCAGGGCGGTTGAGGCGGTGGTGTTTCGTCATAGACTGCGGCGCTTAACCATGCCGTCATGAACAGGGCGCATTTATGATTTTGCGTATAATTTTCCTTCCATCAGGTAACTTAATCGCCCGTCTCACGAATGATATTGACAAAAAATTTACGCTGCTGACTTTTTTGAATAAAATATATATATATATATAAAATAAAAACAACAACTCCGTAACATGTTGGAAAATTATTAAAGTACTATAAGACCAAATCAACTTTGAACGTTGCTAAGGATTGTTGTTCTGGTATTAGGAACATGTTTTTGACTTTGCGTGACAGTTTGATATTATTTTTTCTCTGTTAAAAGTCATATTTTTATCAATAGGGTATTTTGGAAACCAACATCTGTAGCACACATGTTTATATGAACTTTTCTACTTGAATTTGGTTGAGTAATTCGCGCTTGTAATTACGGCCTATAATTAAGTGACACACTGTCTACTTAACTCATATGTTACGAGAATATAATTGGCAGTTTGACAAAACTAGAAAATGTATGTCTGTGAGCTTACACAATCAAACCTCTACACGCAAACGTAGATTGCATGTGTGTGTGAGGGTTAAGGAGATATGTAAGTAATACTGGTAGTTTTACGAATGGTGTGATCCTGCTAATATCGGTAAAGACCTATATTTAGAAATATACTATTATCTGCTTTTAAGATATTTTTCATAGGAACTCCCTGCATCACTCTGCACCCTACAACTTTTTATGAAATAGTATCTGTATCAGAATGTATTACTCTTATTAGGATTCAGAAAAATATTAATATTATAATCCAGAACCTACAATTCATTCAAAATCTATACTTCAGTCTAATATTACTGCACGAAAAAGCTAGGGTCAACCTTTTCTTTAACGCCATTTTTATGTAATTCGATATCATGAACAATATCTGCAAAATTGTATTGAAACTGACATATAATTACTGTCAAGATAGGTATTTCCATTTTAAAAACAAGTTTTTTGCATATGACAACATATGAACTCAGCGTTTAACAAGGAATGAAACCACGACACTTGATACTTCAAACGAATTTGGTTCCAAAGCAAGGGACAATAAAATTTGAAAATACGGGCCCCAATTAGAGTTATTTATCTATGTTTTGAGTGATCAGACTGACTAAACGTGATGTTTTGATTCCATACGTATCCTGCAAATCCAGAAACGTCAACTTGTTTAAATTATATCATCAGAGCAAACTAGTTCACTATTAAACCACTTGAGAATGAAAACTTGGTCTTGACTTTTTTTAATTACCTGAAATCTATGCAGGCTACTAATTGTTCTGGGTCCATATCTGCCAGTAACTGCCAAACTGGTTTTTTGACAAGTCTCCCCCATAAGTCCCAAAGTGCGTTGATTATAGCTGCTGTTGCCAAGTGAGTAACACCTTTTTCAGGACCAATCTGTAAGAAACGTTCATTTATGAATCCTTAAAATTTGTCAACATTACTCTGAACATATTTTCTGGTTGTCTGGGTAAAGTATCTCTGTGCTTTACCCGCCGCCAAACGAAACCACATATGTACGAGTACATTTAAAAAAAATTGTGATGCACAGTGGTTTATTTGTGCGAAAACTTATGCTAGCTTTTTCCGTTCTGTTGTATATTGAAAAATATTCAGAACATGGATCCTAATAAAAAAGTTACAAAATTTTGCTTGACGTAATAGAAAGCCGTCATTATTGTTGTTTTCATGTACACCTTGATTTAAACGAATTACTATTTGTTTACTTTTTATGTTACTTTTAATTTAATATACCAACATTCCACTTGACATGCTTACAATAATCATTGACCTTTGCCTTGATGCTAGTTATTTTTTGTGCATTGAGATATTTTATAAACAGTTTGATGGTACAACAATGGGCAAGCCATGCTGCCATATTCTAACTAATCTTGTGATGGAAGTATTGTTTCATCATTCGACTTTGAAGTTCCACTCGCCAAACTCTATGTGGATGATACTATATTATCCGTACGTGTGAATAATGAGAAGTAAAAAACTATCGAATATGAAGATAACTGTATGATTCCATTTTTAGATGTTTCTTTGAGAAGAACAGAAGTAGGTGGAGTTTTGTACAGTTTGTATGAGGAATCCATTAGTTCAGGTAGGCTACTGAATTTTTATTCCTATCATCCATTTAGAGTATTTTCTCGCGTAAAACATTACGCCACCTTGGTACTAGCTCTTCGTGTAATGCCAAACTCGTGTTTCGCGGATTTTACAGGTTTGCTATCCAGATATTCAGAACTTTTTCGAGAAGCTCAATGTTGTTATAGAATGATATTGGATTCCAGCTCATCAATCAAGTTTCAAGCTTGATCTAAATTATTATGAGTAGCCAAGGATCTTTGATTGATCTTTGGGCCGGTTTTGTTGTGGCTCAAAATCCCCACTGCGGTGGATCCGCTTGGGCTCTGAATTTATCACGTTCAGGACGACGTAAATCCATATTTGATACAATCTAGTGTTCACGCTCTGCTCGTCCTCTTCTTCGCTCGACAGAGATAGGACGACTGAAATCATGACAATGTCTATGTGGGAGCTCCTAGATCGCGTCCTCCACCTCTCTGCGATCAAGGCCTGCGACGTTCTATTTGTTGTAAATGTTTGCTAGATCGTCCAAGAGAAGCGTATCTCTATCTCTTTCCTATACAACATCAATGTGTGAGCGCTAAACCAATACCCACTGGTCGGGGTTGGCCAATGTGGGCGATGAATCATAGCACATCATATACAGGCCCTGTATTAGGGATAATTGACAAAACTTCATATTTTTGCTCGTGAAAGTTTCTAAATTCTTCAATAGCAAAACCGATTTAAAAACATGGAGACTCTGGAGGTCAAATCAATTGTCCCCCAGCATTCCAGATGATGAATGGTCCCAGCCAGAATGAGGTAAAATAGAAATTAAGATGAAATCAAATGGATTGATGACATCAGCCATAGCAGACGAAAAGAACAGGACCATACAGCGCCTGATCATCGAAAGCCAGGTCCAGTAAATAAAAGGAACTGTCTGAGACAGTTAGGGACCGAAACAGTAAAATAGACAGCCTGACCAACTAGGTAACACAGTTAATAATTAATAATCAAAATTTTAATTCCAAATCTGACAAGGCTGTCAATTAAAAAATTTTGACTCATAACATGACATCGACCGATGATGAAATACAGAATGACGGATTCATCCAGACCAAGTCTAAGAAAAGACGCAGCGACAAAATGAACAAATACGACAAGATGGATGACTTTCTACCTCTTCCAAAAGCAAAATCCAAATTCAAGTTGACAGTCCCTCAAAACCGTCTGCTTCATTAAACGGATCAACTTCTTCTGCCACTTATCCCGACAGTCGATGAAGCGACCACATCTTCTCGATCTTGGCCATTGCATCGACTGACGGTGCATTATCTCAACAATCTCACATTGCTGGTGAGTTGACCAGCACAGCACCCCGCCGGGGGCGAATCACGCCCATTGTTTTGCGTCATGCGGCCAAGTGGCGAAATCTAAACTACTCCTTTATAAGCTTATAAGCTTAGGCATTAAAATAGAACGCGCTTTGCCGTTGATGCTGGAATCAGGATTTTGCCGAAAACTGAGGATGACTACCGCAGGATCATTCGCCTGTTCAGAGAGGATGACGTGCCCCATCATACGTTCCCTCTTCCTTCAGAACGAAATATTCACGCGGTAGTTAGACATGTACTCGCTAACTTTTCGGAACAGGAGATCAAAGGGGAATTAGAACTGAGGGGATATACTCCGCTCCACATTGTCCGATTCAAACGCGGTGGCGGTGCACCTATTCCTTTGGTGGTCGTGATACTGCCCAAGATTAAAAAGTCCCAACAGCTATTCAATGAACATGAGCTGCTGGGTCTAGCAATCAGAGTTGAAGTTCAAAAGAACTCTAGACTTATTGGGCAGTGTCACCGCTGCCAAAGGTATGGTCATGCGCAGTCTTACTGCACAGCACCTCCCGAGTGTTTAAAATGTGCTTCCGACCACATGACACATTTATGCCCATCACAGGACAAAAGGAGCAAGGGTGTGCAAATTGTGGAGGGGCGCATCCCGCTAACAGTGCCTTTTGCAAATTCACTCCCAGGAGCAGTCTGGAAGTTATAGCGCAAAGACACAACAAGTCATACGCGGAAGCAGCCGTCTCAACATCTTCCGCTGCCCCCTCCGCTGCCCCCTCTGTTGATTGAACACGCAGAATGTGGACCTAGCAACAGCGCTTAGGTCCCTGAAATAAATAAGTCCCCTGGTTAGCACCACTCAGTCATTGCAGGCGCAGCCATTGAATGGCTACAATAGTCAACCTGACAATTCTGTTTTCTAATTGTCTGGGTCTAAGGGATATTCCCAAAAAACTCTATTGGATGAGAGTATATACGTAGCTCTTCATATGATGTTATACGCGCTGACAGATTGAATGGTAGGGGTGGTGGCACAGAAGCAAAGCATTGACGCGGCTTCCTTGGTTTTCAATATGGCGGGATGCATTCCGTTGAAGATCACCTCGATAAGAAATAATTATATTCACTGTTCACTGTCGACTTACAAGCCATATACATGCTAACAGTAACTACACACAACGCGGGCGCGGTGGTAATTTTCTGTAATTCTCCTCAAAGTTTCTCGTACTTTATAACTTTGAACATAACCTGTCTTCAGAAAGGACAAGATATAAATAACCCGTCGGGCACAGCTAATAGATATACTTCATTGGCAGCATATTAAGTAATGATTTTCTCACATAGCAAATATCACTGAATTTATACACATGCACACCAAAACACATAATCGTCCAGATGCGATCTGTCTATTCAACTAACTTTCTTCTCAGAGATAAAAATTACAGACAGAGACATCTAGGCCTCACAAAACATATGCAACCAATAATGCGTGTAGTTTAATTGAGTGATTCCTCCATAGATTGATGTTCACAACGATCCTAGTGCGCAAACGTGGAATGACTGTTTGCGCCCTAAAAACTACCTAGTCTGCAAGGTGATATCTTATAGGTTTTTTACAAAATACCCGTGCGGATGTTATAGACTTTGCAATATCTAAAAAATGCAGGTTCAGTATTGCTTCTAGAATCTTGTATGACATCTCTAGTGACTATCTACCTGTTGTTCTGGAGGTAGGTAATGGGAATTTCGTGGAGGAGAAAACTCCTCCAAGGAAAAGAGTTGATTGGGAACTATACAAGTCATTTCTCAAACAGATGAGGACGAAATAGATGCTTAATCGGAGTGGACAAGTTTCGTTCACCAAACTCTATAGCGTGCTGCTGTGCTTCCAGTGCAGCGACACGGCAGACCTTTTCTCCCTGCTGACATCCGTCAGAAAATTTCTGAAAAGGAATGCGATTAAGCAAGCTCTTGTCATCCTGATGACATTCGTAGAGCGACGAATCTTGTCCATGAAGTGAGAAATGCATTCCACGAATTCCGCAATGAGCAATGGACCGTCAAACGTTCACACACAGGGGTGGTTGCATGTATTGTATGTATGAGGGAGATGAAGATATATAAAGGGATACTGGAATCTCACTTTGACCCGCCAAGAACGGTGACTACAACTATTTCACATATTCATGGTCCTGGAGGCATAGTTTTCACGACTGAGGATAAAGTTGAGATTTTTGCTGAAGTCATGGAAAGGCAGTTCTCTTCTAATTATGATCTGGACAATGACCTTGACGAGGAACGACAAATTGTAAGATCTGCCAGGAAATATTTCAGAGCAAATGGCGACAACATTAGTGCTAACATCGGTGACTCCTTTTCAGAAGATTATTCTACCGAAGACTCTTCAGATGAATCTCTGCATAGCACATCAGCGGAATCCTCTGTGATTCCATTTGCACACCAGCAGAGCTCCAAGGCCACATTGAGGACCTAAATGTGCTTTATGCACCTGGAGAGGATCAAATCACCAAAAAAGCACTGAAGTTGCTTTCGCTCAAGGCTTTGACTTATATTATGGCAATAATCAATGCAATGCTCAGTACTGAGTACTTTCCTAAGGCGTGGAAGGTCGCTGAAGTCATCATGATACCAAAGAAGGCAGGTTCGATATTCCCCCAGGATTACCGTCCCATTAGTCTGCTGTCAGCTCCTTCTAAGCTCGCTGAAAAGGTGATTTATCGTCACCTTGAGAATTTCTCGTCAGATCACCATGTGATTCCTGACGTGCAATTCGGCTTTCGGTCTGAGCATAGTATGGAGCTACAGGCAGTTAGACTGGTGAAGCATGTAACCAGGGGGTTCACCCTGAACAAAAGTACTGGTATCTTGCTTTTAGATGTATCAAAGGCATTTGACAAGGTGTAGCAGATGGGCCTCTTGTATAAGCTCATCCAAAAGGGTTTTCCATTTTGGCTACTAAAACTGTGCAAATCTTTTATAGAAGGAAGGAAGTTTTGGATCAAAATTAACAATGTGTTGTCAACAGTCACAGAGCCGGTGTTTCTCAAAGTTCTGTCTTAGGACCAATCCTTTATTCACTTTATATACATGACGTCCCTTGCCCCAGCAACTGTGAAGTCTGTCTCTATGCCGATGACACTGCCCTGCTAGCCTAGTCTTGTTTTAATAACCTGCTTCACAACAGGCTGCAGAGTGCGGTGGGGAAAGTATTGGAGTGGGCGGATCGGTGGCTGATCAAAATTAATTCTTCGAAAACGCAGGTAATCTATTGTACTAAAAAACGTCGTGGTGCCCCATCAGAGATATCAGTGAATGGAACACGTATACCATGGCATCAATCTGTCAGGTACCTTGGAGTTTTTGACAAGGGGTTGACCTGGCATACTGATACTTTGAAAACAAAATTCCAAATTACTATTTGGCAGCTTTATCCTTTATTGTGCAGAAATTCAAAATTAAGTTTGATCAACAAGATTCGGTTATATAAAATGGTCATAAGACCCGAAATCACCTATGCATGCCCAGCTTGGTGTTTTTCATGCAGAGACTGCAAGTCCTACGCACAATCACCAACGCCCAATGGTACGAGTCAAGTGAGACCATTCACAGAGATCTTGATATCCCATATCTAAAGGGATTATGAAAAACAACAAGCACAGACGAGTTATAATCAAGCTGAATCGCGCAGCAACACTCTGTTGCGTGATTCAGTAGACTACACAGTCGATC